TTGGGGACTGGGAGGGAGCCAGACACTTATATCCGTGCAAGTGAAGGAAGTGAGGGATGTAATTCACTGAGGCAATTTGGAACAAAAAAAATGTGAACTCGCGCTACATATTGCCAGATGAACTTAAGCAATACCAGACACCTAGCTAAAAGCAGTCATTCAGAACACCACGATCGTAGCAAATTTATGCCATTTGTAAATTTTAAATACATAAACATTGTTCAAGGACGTAGATGTATTTGATGTGCTTTTTTCCGTTTTTTCTTTTTAATATGGTTTGTTCAAGGTGTTTAAAAGTAGTAATTTTATAAGCCTGCCTTTTGTTAAAAACGGTCAAGATGAAAGGTTACTTCATTTCGCTGCAGAAGTCAGCTGTGCATGAAAAACAAAGGAACTTATTTTAATTAGAAATAGGATTGTAAGTGTTTAATCAAACGATTTACTGTTTCAGTTGTTTGAACATTAACTGTTAGCTGAGAGAACATTTAGTCTTGCAGAGAATTTAACCAATGGCCTATACTAATGAATGAAGTCAATAATTATTTAATGAAGAGTGGCACAGTAACCTCACACCGAAACGGTTGTGGATCTGTTTCCTACCCTCACTCTGTGTTTCTGTGGGTTTCCTTGCTCAGTCTGAGGCAGTGGACCAGGTGGACTGTCTTCTCTGAATCTCCCTTAGTGCATGTGCTGTGACGCATTGCCTTCCCATTGAGGGTGTACTCTGTGTGTTCTGGGATGGGCTGCATGTTTCCCTCCACCCTTTGTTAAACTGAGATTCTGAGAGAATGAACAAAGTATTCAATTAAGTGTAAATAATACCTCTCTCGCATGACACGTGATGGGAGTGAATGGAATTCTTCTGCTAGTGATCGATTCAATCATAATTGCCCTATTATGTAAAAGAGAGAGTGTGAAATGACATCTCTGCTGCCAGATTTGCATGTGGTGGTGAAACACTAACATTTTGAATGCACACAGATGAGAGAGTGATAAGGCAGACCCGACTGTCATTTGTTCATTTCCATCATCGCTGTGGATTTGTTTAATTTATCCGTGCAGTAGAAAGGAGGGGCGATGTGGTCCTGTAGGCAGATAAGGAAAATGAGGATCAGGAGTAGGAAGGATTACTAGAGGACGTCTTGATGTCTGCTGATGCACAGCGTTGTATATACAACATTGTAGTTGTGCATCTATGAAGAGCAGCCCATATCTGGACTGAAGCCTGGAAAAGGCAGTCATCACCATACCCAGGACTGTACAGAAGTCTGTCCTCACATTCCAAAGGTGGTCCCTGGTTATAATATGACAGAATGAATTTTATTTTTTTACAGAATGCTAGATTTTTTTTTTTACTGATATTAATTCATAAGGACGTTCTGCAATCTCTTGCAATCAAGTCACACATTTGATTTTGACAAATTATTATTGGATTTACATTATTTACTTAACATTATTTAATATAGATAAAATATATAGCTATGATTAATATTCAGGGATTGTGCTTTAATGTAGAAACCAAGTGTATTGAGTGAACAGTAAAACATCTAGTATAGATGAATTATGGCATTTCTGTTTAAAAAGTGCTCTCTTTCTGTTAAAATAACCTTTGGCTTCTAAAAGCAATGTTTTATAAAAGCCTCAATGAAAATTTTCATACAAGAAGAATATGGACAAGTCACATGGTGCTGATTTTGGGAATTTTACTCATCATGGTCATCATTAAGTTCTAAGTCCTTGTTTGTGACCTTCAGAGGTTCTTTGATCATCTTGCATATGCATTTACTCATCCATTGGCCCTTTACGCCTGTTGCTTTCCTTTTTCCACAGATCCATCCAGCCACCAAGATGTCCAGCAAACGCACCAAGGGGAAGACCACAAAGAAGCGCCCACAGAGGGCCACGTCAAACGTATTCGCCATGTTTGACCAGTCCCAGATCCAGGAGTTCAAAGAAGCCTTCAACATGATTGACCAAAATCGTGATGGTTTCATTGACAAAGAGGACCTCCATGACATGTTGGCATCTCTTGGTATGTCAGTAGAAAGCTTGGGAGTATAATGGGCTGTGATTCCGAATCCATAATGGCCCTCGACTCCAAATCCAGGCCTTGTTTTCAGTTCTCCCAGGCAGTTTAATAATGACTGATTCTGATTGGTTACAGAGGCTTCACACCTGGCTCACTAGTAAAGGTAGGCTGGAAAATCAGCAGGACTCGGCCCTTGTGGACCATGATTTGAATAGGCCTGCTGTAAACATTTCAAATCCAGCCTAATGGAAGGAGGATGAACAAGATTGAGAGTAAAATTATGTTTTGGGAAGCTATTTCATGATAATATGCAGGCATAGTAGAAGAACTGAGAAAGAATTATGAAAGAAAATTTGCATAGTATTTCCAGAACATCCTAAATCGTAGTAATTGAAGAAGAAGAAAAAAAACAGTCGAAACCCAAAGTCAGTCAAGTGGTTGTTGTGCACTGCTGATCTCTGACTCATTTTATCCCAAGGCAACCATTAAACAATGGAATGTGGGTTAAGACAGGAAGTGATTAATGAGCACAGTTACTCCACCATGCATTGACAATGAAGCCGCGTTCCTTCATTACGCTTACAAAAGGAAATGAAATTAAGCTGCCATCACTGTGTGTATCCCAGGTAAGAACCCGTCGGATGAGTACCTGGAAGGCATGATGAGCGAGGCACCAGGCCCAATCAACTTCACCATGTTCCTCACCATGTTTGGGGAGCGCCTCAACGGCACAGACCCCGAGGATGTGATCCGCAATGCCTTCGCCTGCTTTGACGAGGAGGGATCCGGTATGATGGATTTCAGTCAGCCTTATCCAGACCAGCTATAACAATGCCTTGTATCACACAATTTGTAGGCAATATATACTGCATAACTGTTAAAATATTCCCATGGCTTTTATAAAACATTAAAAATCTCTAGCTCATTATTAATCAGCAACAGCTCACAAACTGCTGTTAATTTGTGTTTAGTCTGAATCTCTTTTCAGTGCATTTTATTTTGTAAATTATCCGGGTGTGTCTTTCTAAAGCAATCTACAGTAACACAAGCGGGCGAATAGTTCCATAGTTAGTAATTGTTATCCATGTCCTGATTATTTACTCTGGTAAATGGACGCAGACCCAGTTTATTTGGTATGTGGATTTCCAATTCTGGAAGCACAATGGTGATGTATTACAGGGGTGATCCATGAAGACCATCTGAGAGAGCTCTTGACTACCATGGGTGACCGCTTCACTGACGAGGAGGTGGACGAGCTGTTCCGCGAGGCCCCCATTGACAAGAAAGGCAACTTCAACTACTCCGAATTCACACGCATCCTCAAGCATGGTGCCAAGGACAAGGATGATATTTAGAGACTGGCTTTTTACTTCTTCCACCGATGACCTCTGTCGCTCACTGCAATACTCTTCCGCATTTGCACTTATACTTTCAATGCCAAAATAAACAGGAAGTTGTCTTCAAGTGAAAAGTGAGCTTCCCCCAAATGTGCTGGTTTAATCACCCAGCATCCATAGCAGGTCTCACCACAAACCTTGGCACAAGTCCATCACCATTCTCCCAAAGTGACTTAAATACCCGAACGCAGTTCAAGATGTGAAAAGTAAGGGTGCACTTTTTAACTTTTATCAGTACCAGCTTGTGCAAGATGTGTAACCACCATGAAAATCGCAAACTCAAAGCGTTGATCTAAAATCAGCTTTAAGGCAGGTCATCAAGATCTGCAGATTAAGGGCTTTTCACATTCCACCAAACAGATGATTTGGGTCATTCAAGGGCTAAAGGAAGACCTCAGACATGATGACTGGTCCCTTACCTTAGAGATGCACTCCGTCTGCTGTCGTTTACCATTTGTATTCTCTGTTGGAATAATAAAAATATTCCCTTATGTGATTTGAGGTTATTCTGCAATACATGACGCATTCCACTCTTATCGTAGTTCAAACCGAAGAACCGTGACCAAATTTCATCACTCAGAGGAAGGTGTACATGAAGCTGATAAAGGCTTTAACAATCGCTGCCATATCTTGTGGTTTGTACAAGCAGTAATGGGAAAACTGGCACAATTGGAGGAAAACAAGCCTATCTGACTACTAGTGGGTTTTTTTTCAGCCAAGCTCCTTATCTTTTCGCTTTGGCCTCTAAACTGAACGACAGACAATGGAAATTACTTTCACCCTAAACACATTGGTGGGGGAGGGGGGCTTAGGCTTCAAAGGCGGCCATAAATACCCGAAAATTCAATAAAAGTAGGGGGTATTACCCAGAGGAGGAAAGTTCAGGTCCAGAAAGTAAAAATCTGGACCAAGGTTTTGTTTTAACCAACCACCTGAGTATTCTGTGAATGACATTGAATGATGAACTGGTTGGTTGAAATAAAACCTTGGTCCGGATTTGTACTTTGTGGACCTGAACTTTCCACCTCAGGTATTACCATATCAGTTTGATAGAGAGTTTGATGATGTAGTCCATGCAGATGAGTTTAGCATAAACAAATCTGTATGAACTCCAGCCGTCACAGGCTGCAGTGTGGCACCCCCTAGTGGAAGGGCAACACATGGCATGCAACTCAAGAGCCCCAGTCAGAAAGTGCAGCAGCGTGACAGCCTATGTTGAGTCCCCTTATACCAGGAGTGGCCAATCTTATCCGCAAAGGGCCGGTGTGTATGCAGGTTTTTGGGATAATCTGTAGGTCAGCTGTTCAAACCCAGGTGTGAGGACTTTTCAGCCAAATCAGTCCTCTAATCAGTAATCTAATTAAGGAGCTGCAGCAAAAACCTGCATTCACACCGGCCCTTTGTGGATAAGATTGGCCATCCATACCTTATACAGTAGAACCTATAGATCATCATCCTCCAGCTGCAAGCATGACGTTCATGATGACTTAAGTAGACTCCCCTTCAAGGGAACACTTAGAAATGCTTCGGAAACCAAATACGAGCCCCTACATAATAAATTAATTTGAAACAAGTGTAGGAAAATTAGCCTTTTATTCTCCAAAATGCACATACAAAAAGGTACAAAGTTTAAGACTACAGATTGATAGCTTGAAGAGGTTTGCTTCCTGAATACTGCGGCCCATGAAGTGGCACCCAACCCATTATTCCAGAAAGGCACGATATGCCGAACGTGAGATGAGATGCTTAAACACATCAGAGCGCAAAGATGACCAATATTCCCATTGTGCTGCAACATTGTTAAGAGGAAAAAACAACAACAATGCAACACTTTACATTTGCATCTATAGCCTCACATTCAGTTAATATGAAAATGCCCCTACAGGAACATTATCAGGGATATACATTTTCAGGATAATATAGTGTGATAGGCTGGTGTCCAACTCACTTTGAACATCACATTCTAGGCAGAAATTTCTGACTGATCCTAGTCACACAACTGAGCTGATAAACTGCAGTTTCAAAAACAGGTAGAATTGGATTGTTACACTATCATTAGTTAGAACTCAAATCATGACAAAAAGTGGCTTCTTCAGCTTCTCCCTGTGCAGCACAAAACAGTATTTCAGGTTTAATGCGCAATTTGAAGCTGAAATACTGCTTTACTTAATTGCTTACCTTAAGTATATTTGCACTGAATGAACCTAGAGTAATAAATTCCGGGCATGTAACAAATGAGCAGCAATTTTCGGGGTCGTCCCACCCAGGAAAACGTTTTGTTTCATGGAAACCGTAGAGTTGTTGAGGGGAAAAGTGGCTGCAAAATTACAACCTTCTAAAACGAATTTTGAAAAAATAAAAAGTCTGACAGTCCAAACTCCTCCCCCAGGGTCAAATAAAGCACGAGTCCTCACTTCTGAAATGTGAACAGCCCACGGAGAGTTTAGACCATCTTTACCCCATCTGAGGACTTTGGAAATGCTCTAATGACACAGTGATCAGTCCAGCTGGTCCGCTTTCAAATGCCCGGCATTCCTGAAGGAACCTGGCAGCGGTCTCTAAATACCCCAGGGGAACGAGGAGCCACAACACAGACCGGCATCCCCTCCTTCCTGGGCTCCCAGCAGACAGGCCAACGAGCCGCTCACAGCAGAGTCTCTCACCGAAACTAGAACGTTTAGCAGGCTCCATTTTTAAAGTGCGTACAAAGGTTGCCTATAGAAAGTCACAATCCATTCATCTACTACTGGCAGCACTGAAAGGCAATGAAACAGCCTGAACCCATCTAGCTCTGTGCATCTTTATAAGCTTCCCACTGTAAAGTATTAAGACATCCGCCTTCTAAATGTATGTTCTGGTCTGGGTCTCAGGGTATTACATAGATAATACCAATGAAATGTGCTTGACATGTTCCTTCCCCATCAAACCTCCATATTTTACAAAACAAAATATGAAAACCAAAACAAAATTCCAACTCATAAAAAAAAATAAAAAAAAATCAAAGCACCTATAAAAATCATGCTACACTTGTCATACCACTTTGGCGAAATGAGCAAACTTGGCCTGTTCCCCCATCGTGAGCGAAGCTGGGGCCTCAAATATGAAAATAAAACTGCCATGAGCCAACGCTACATTCCCTGTGTGTTTCATGGCCTCATCAGTTAACCACCTCCCGCACGGCACAGAGGGCGGGCCGAGGGCCCCATGTGGTCAGCCTGCCCTCGCCGCACAGCACCCCCCACACAGGGGAGGGGCCGTTCATCTTCTCGGTTGGCAAACCATGTGTGGTACCAGTCATTGGAGTATCCCACCCTGGGGGTTTCTGATCATCTGCGGAGTCCCCGTCCGCTGAGACTGGTGCTCCGGGCGATGCGGGTGTGGCCTTGTCTATGTTCGGCTCCTCCTCAGAGTCCGCGTCTCCCCGGCCCGAGCTGCCCCGCTGGAGCTCCTGCTCCGCTGCCCGCTGTAGAGCAGCATCCACCAGCAGCCGCAAGTCACTGAAGTCCTGGCTACACGACTCCGGGGGTGTGGGGGGCGGCGTGTTGAGCGCCGGGCTTGTCGTGCCGTATCCACCAGCCCGTCCGGCCCCTTTGGCCACGCCCCCATCTCCTGCCCGCAACAGGGCGGGGGCGGTGTCCCTACATGGAAAGCCCAGGGAGGGGGTAAGGGAGAAGCCGGCGCTTGTCAGGATGGCAGTCGCAGTGTTGCCCAACAGGTTAAGGTCCAGCAACGGTGTGGAGCGTATCACAGAGGGACGGGGGAATTGAGGGAGCGTGCCATCCGTGTCGGCTGCCGGTTTGGCCGCACGCCGGGAAATGGTGAAGTGATTGGGGTCTTTGCCATCTTTCCTCAGCAGGTCTGGGAGAAGCCTCCGTCGGGCATTGATGAACCAGTTACAGATCTACAGAAGCACAACAGACCGCTAAGTCACTTTTCGTGATCTAGGCAAAATGAAACATTGAAAGATATTGAAAATGAAAACAGCCTGCAGTCGACAAACATACACGAGTACTGAACTCTAAGAAGCCACCACCTCTAACAGAACACCTGTTATAATACATAAAACGAGCAGAGCCAATAGCTGCAGAAGGTAAAATTCAATAGCCGTGTCGATATATCCCTCTAGTGGCAGCGCTGCACAACTGCAATTTTGGTATGACTGCAGGTCACCAGCTGTAATGACATCACGGTACAAAAATGTCAGAAAGAAGACAAATAGTCCTGATATTATAGCAGGGCCACAGGAAACATGCCTGTCAGTGCAACGGAAACCAGACTGAGCCATGTGCAGGAAATTCCTTTAAGCAAAAAGTTAACAATCACCTTCAGACATGTACTGGGATCCAAAATAATATTTTGAGAGCAATAGGAAATAGGAATGAATACAACTCAACAGTAACCTTGTACAAAAATTGAATTATAACGAACTTGTTATTTTAGATGGCGGAACAGTTTCCAATTGCATTTCAATCCTCTGCTTTGAGGACAACAGTTTCGTCATCTAAACTGCAATTATGGGAAATTAGTATGAGACAAGTAATCAGTGGATTGATTTTTAAACATTCATCTCGGTATACAGAGTCATGAGTCAAGTGCCAGACAGGGTACAATTTGGTTCATATAACGGGTTTGTCTGGGTAAATAACATGGACATTACCACCCACGATGCTCCAATAAAAATCGGGCAACTGCATCAACGGGTGAAAAGTGTCACTTTGGGGAAATAACCAGATAAGTCTGCATGAGCTAAAAGAACAGTAATTTATCACGCATTACAATTAGGCTACATGCTAGGCGAATAGGCAATCAAGCCACTGTGGAAAGGAGACACTCAAAACTGAATAAGCCTAGATTCTTAATTTAACACCAGTAACGAGACTGGGAAAGCGAGGCAGTTACCTGTAACACAGAGAGGCTGGTCTGCCCCGACAGGCTCAGTTTTTCCTGCTCGGATGGGTAAGCGTTGAAGCGGTGTTCGTACAGCCAGCTCCGCAGGACCTGCACGGCTTCCTTTGGGAGATTCCCGCGGCGACGGCGCTTCCCCGGACCGCCCGACAGATCCAGCGGGACGCCCTCGCCCCCGTCATCCTCGCACGGGTCACTATCTGACAGCACAGAGAGCTCGGGTCCCCGGGTGCGCTCCGGATGCAGGGCTGGAGAGAACATGGGACAGGTCCCGTCGATTAATGCAAAATTTGCAAAATAAATAAATAAATAAAAAGCAACAACATTCAGCTGCATGTTTATCCTGTTAGACAAGCACCATAAATCCATTCAAACTGGAGACATCGTTAAAACGTAAAATGCAAAACGTACAGAGGGCCATCAACTAAGAAGGGACATCGGGGATTACTGGTAGACATGCAAAATCCTCCCCCCACCCCCTGGCAATCAGATCTCCCGCATGTGTGAATTCCTCGACACTTTCCCGACAAAAGGGAGACACGGCGGACAATGCAAGTCCCTTAACTTGGCCACAGACACACAAAACACACACACACACACACAATGCTATTCCTGCAGCACCAATAAATCTGCCGCACTTCAGATACTCAAGGCCCGCCAGTAAAAACGTCCCGATCGACACGACACGTCGGCAGTGCATTACTGTCATGCAGCAGAACGAGACCGAGTCACATCTCCGCGCAGTATAGACGATTAACCAAACATGTTGTTCAAACCCACGATTCTAGGCAATTATTACTGATACGTTTCTTACTGACCAGTGACAGTCTTCACGCTGCTCGCCGCTAATTAATAATGGCAATTAATCAGGATGCTTCGGGGACACTCGCCCATTTGCCGCAGAGCCCAAGCCTTCCAGCGTGCCAGAAGGGCTGTTATCCGCACTGGCTGGAGACCATTCCCGCTCCGCTTCTTCAGCATGTCAGGCGCTGGAATTCCCCTTCCCCATAAGGGTTAATATCCCACCGAGTGCATTTAAATTGTTACAAGCAGAAACGAGGAAGTGAAACGGTCTTGAGATAAACGCATGGCAGTGTAAAGTGAGCCCCTCCGCTTTCTTAACAACCCTCCTGACTTCCAAAAATTTCCCTAGTTAAGGTTCAGCCACCATCTGGCTGACTGGCTAATACAAAAGATCCCTCCCTCCCTCCGGACACAGGCCTCCTCACTCAGCACTGTTTTTCCTGCGTTCCGCCAGATGGACACCATGCTTTAGTACTTCCCAACATAACTGTCCCACCAAATTCAGCCGCACGCGTTTGCGCTATTATCCACACAAACAAAAGCACTCTAAAACCCCGAACTTATCCATATTCCACCCCGCCGTGGCCGGAAAACAGTCTCTGTGAGTGCTGGTGGTGGGGGGTGCACGCCAGGAAAATTCAACTTACCTCTTTTCAATGTTTTCATTCTTAGGGGTGGCCGAAAATCTTCGCGAAATACGCACCTTCAGAGCGAAAAAAAATCACAATTTCAAAACGCCGAGAGTATCAAAGGCGTATTTCAACTCGAGGGCTGGTTACCTTAACGGATACAATGTCTCCCAGCAATGTTTCCCTTTAAAACGAAATCCCCCGTTTTTATCAATTGTCCCTCGGCAGTGTCTACCTGCACGCAGTGGTCCGCCCGTCCTTAGCTCTACCAACCAGATAGTGGGACTCACGATGATACCGCCCACTGTGTCTGCGTGGTCCAATCACGGCCATCAAAACGATCCACGCAACCCCCTGTATAATAGATTGAGTGACAGCGAAAGCGTAGCTTTCGAAAGCCAAGAATGCACGTTTTGTCCGGTGGTGTTTGAGCTGAGGTTTGAAAATCTTAAAAGTTTATAACGCCTCCAGAATCATCTTGGATTTAACTTAAAATACACCTGTCTACCGATGGAGTAAACCTGTTTCCTATATGATGATTAGAAAATTAAAGTCGTTAATGAACTAAGTAACCGTTCGTATGCAACGGTATACAGTGCATATGGTATTCAGCATAGAAGTATGTGTGTCGTAAGTTTAAATGTGTGGTCACCCGGAGTACAACGATCTGTTTACCTGAGAATATTCGGCTCGGTGTTTCACATGCTAATGGTAGTGAAGAATTCTCTTGAAACGACCCATTTTTCATTCAAATGGGGCACTTCCTCTGGGTTGACATTCATTCAGTTATAATCCCTAAACTACCACTCATTGTATTATAATATATTGTTAAAACGTAAGGCATGGAACACTTCAGTTTGAAGATCTGGTAAGTGTTACCGACGTGCAAAAAGAAACGTGGGTTTTTAAAGCTTATTACAAAACGCACAGTATACGCAAACGGTTAGGTTTAGTGAACAGATGCTGCTTTGTTATAATATCTGCGTTATCGTCAATCGTGTGTGTAAAGCTCACCAGTGCATAAGATACAAAATAAGATACAAAATATGTATATATATTTCACAAATTTTATTGAGAGATACTTTTCATAGTTAGGACAAATGCGCCCTTTCCTACAGAGTAAATTAAATCTAAACTTAATTCTGTTGCCCGCTGTTGTTAAAGCAGGCGGGGGATGAAGTACATGGATTAGAAGGATCACAATGGTCCTCCAGTTTCCACTCTCCATCTCCCTCCTCCCTGCTCACTGACAACAGTATTATGTTGTCTACAGGTCAGAGTGCCACATTTTGGGAAACCAGTACACCCCTTACACACCCATTAACAGTCTGTCAGGCAACCAGCTTCACCCAAATGACAAAATACATTTCCAGAATAACAGCGTGACTTTAACCCATATTACATAGATATCAGAAATAAAACATTTCGTAATGTCCGCATTACCATAGTATTTTTCTCTCCGACATTCTTCCATCCCTGTATGTTTGCGTTAAGGTTCTGTTGACATTCATTAAAAAAACATTTGTTTAAAAAGCATTTCCGTTGTTTTAGAGCCCTTTTCCCTGGTTTGCTTCCCCCCCGCTTGCACAGAAATAAGTACCAGAAAAACTGAAGGACAAAGAACATAAAAATACCATTTACCTTCCAAAAAGTTTAGTTCCTGTTTGTTACAAAGGTACATATTTTATTGTCATTTGCATTCATATCACAGGTAGTAGTAGTGCATATACTTTGGGGATGTTTTGTTTATTGCCATTTTAAACACTAGAAAACTGAAACGCGGAAGCAGATAATTAAAATCAATTGTATATACACATTACTCAGTATATCAACAGTAGTTTGCTCATCGTGTTAAATGTAACGTTTTAATCCAGGTGCACCTATAATTTCACGTGAAGTCTATGAAGTGTCAGATATGTAGAAACGAGCCTGTATTTATCATCCAGAAATGCTCTAATGTACGTAGGTCTGGGTTCAAGAAAACGTATAATTGACCGAATAGGTCAGTACAACACTACTAAGTACATTTTTAATCAAACCTGCAGATCTAAGAGCTAGGAAATGAAGTTTGATATGCTGTACAGCGGACGGGGAAAATACAATTAGTATTGTCTGTGTTTCATTTATGTATTTAATAGTTGCTATTCTAAAAAAAATAAAAATGAAATGAATTTCTTATATGTCCACGAGGGGGCTGGCAAAATAAGACATGTGGTCCTCTAGATTTGGGTAACTTTAAAACTTTGAGTACAAATAGTTTGTTCACAAAACACAGTGAGGTTCTTTAGTGTGAAGTATTCATCTGGACGTGTTGAGTCTGATATCTGAATAAAATCCTCTCCCCGTGTTAATTAGGTCAGTGAATTTCAATGACTGTTTAATTGTTATGCAAATGACAAATCTGTATTGTGTGCATGCTAGCAAGTTCAGCCCCCGTCAGCTATGAAAACGCTCCTGATCCTTGTGTTCAGATTGAGGCCAATATCAGTCTTTCCTGAATCGCATAGTGTTACTTACAATTGATGTATTTTTTCACTGCATGTGAAATATATGTAAGTGTTCATTTGAGGTGTTTCCCCAAGGTGTTTAAGGTCATTCTTAACTTTGGCCACACTAACCTAGTAATCGTTTAAGTGTGGTTAAACTTAATTTCAGTAATGTTAGTCATGGTTCATCAACTAATTATCTGACTGCGCACTCACCTTGAAGACAGTCATAGATTTCTCTAAATCCACTTATTTCCATTAGGTTACACAAACAATATTACCCCAAACTGAGAAGACTACAGGCCCAAAATGAGCAGCGGTTCACTGAGAGGGAGGTCGATTATAAACACCTTGGGAAGTGGGAGGTCAAATATGGGATGCTGGCCATTTAGGTCATTTTGTTATATAGTCTGTGGGCAATCAAGCACAGCAGGCATGTACACGACAATGAATTTTTCACTTAAAGCAGTTTCCAAAATTCATTAGTCCTGAAATTTCTATGTTCATTCTTTGTGGTCAGCTACTGAACTCACGATGCATACATCAATCTTCCATGGTACTGCAGTTTAATAGTCAAAACCTTATTTTACTTTGCCAAACAGCAATTCAAAGAGACATGACAATTCACATGTCAGTTTGCATTCTGATCACAGTTGTAGCTTCTTGAATGTCATGTTTAACTGAGAGTTATGATAACTGGTCAACCTTAAGATATTGTGCTTCCTTTAGAATATTTGAGCTAAACAGTAATGCTTGACATTATCTAATTTATATAATATTTAAATAACAAACAAATGCTAGGTTGTAAAATATGCTCCTGGTCAACAGAACAACTCAAGATGAAATCGTGTTGTGCCTTAAGTATTACTTATTGGTACATAAATTATAAAAGGAAAAAAATAAGAGATGATGTGGACAAATAATCATTGCGCAGAATGTTCCCTCACCCTCACGCCCACTGTCACTAATATACCGCTGTGTTCAAAGAATCTATACAGTTCTTCTGTCTCCAGAAAAAATACCTCCAATTATTTGACTCTGCACTATTGATCTATTTCCGTTGTAGCCCTTTCTTTCTAAACGGTTAAAAGAAGTTGTTGCCAATACACAATTAAATTAGTTATAAACACAACGAAAAGGCAATACTACCTCTATGCAGGATGGAAAAGGGGAGTTACGAAATAGAAAAAGCACAATGGTTATTCCCTGCCCTGCGTCCACAGATTCCAGGATATGCTCCGGATACCCGTGTCCCTGAATACTAGCGAATAGCTTAAATGGGGAAAATATATGGACAACTTGTAGAAAGCCTCGACAATATTTGCAAGCAAAATCCGACCACTTAAAAACAAGATCTGTAGTGTATTTTTGTTTATTGTAAACGAAACAATAGTATGAATGTATCGATGGATGGCTGAATTTCAGGACTGAAAAAAGCTCAGAAATATATAAAAATTAGTTTGGATGCGGCGAGTGACGCTGTCCACATATGTCACTCATCCTTTGCACAAGCCTCAGCTAGAAATTAAGGCACAGTGCCAGGCAACATAGAGCGCTAGACAGCCACCTATCTCCTGAGGGGGCGCCCACTTAGCAAGCCAATGTTACGTCGTCTCAGACGAATGGCGCCATCGGTGAAGCTTGCTTACGATGTCACATAGGTTTTGGCCGGATACAACATTCACAACGAGCACAACATTTACATTGTCCCAAAAAGAACCACTCATTGCCGAATTTGCATTAAACGTGTCAATAAGGGCGGGCACCTGATCAGTCTGTTACTGAATGTTATACCCACCGAAACGCAGCAGCAGCACACATTAATATGTGCTCCTCTGTACCCCAGAGCAAACTTGAAATTACCCAAGACGAATGGAGGTGGGACGTACAAGGATACTGATCTGCCTGTGTACCGTAATCCCATGCGCCCGAAGTATCCGTGTTTCCCGTAACGCTCGTGCGTCAGGATAAGCTCCCAGCCCGAGCCCCCGACGTTCCCTCGCGGCCACGTTCACGCACAGAGTTGCTCGTACCCGCCGTCACATGACCCGTATACTACAGCCAGAGTTGCCAGGTACGCGGTTTTCCCGCCAAATCGGGTACAGTTGCAGGTAAATGTTAGGAGGTCGTGGGTTGCCAGTTTTTGGGCTGCTTTCATAATGTTCCGCGGCAGCCGACTGTAAAGGGGGAAAATACATTATTATGACTACAAGTGACTCCTAATGCTGAGCAATACTGACTCACTAGCCACCCAAAGTCAGACAGACGCACACGGAAAGCAGGGCTGCCAACTCATCCACATCTGGCATGATACTGACGCGTTCAGACTCTCACGCGGGTAATCTTATGGAAAATCTATATTATTCCCTTATAAACCTAAAATTTGGCACATCAGAAGTGTTGGGGTAGTTTGTAAGCCCTACAGACCAGGGGTGTCAGACTCCAGTCCTGGGGGGCCAGAGCCCTGTGTAGCTTAGTTCTTTTCCTGTTCCATCACAAATGATTCAGCTCAAGAGCTGTGTGGCAATTATCACAAAGAGGTGCAAGGACCTGAATCAGGTGTGTTAAACGAGGGAAATCCCAAAAATGTGCAGGTCTCCGGCCCTCCAGGACTGGAGTTTGCCACCTGTGCTACAGACTATTTATAAGGTAATGAAACTCTTACATACATGTATCATTGTGTTTAACTGAGGGTTTTAAAACGTTAAGCATTTGAATGTTATCATCATGCAAAGTACTGGTTTGTTTACTTGAGATACAGTATACTGAGATTTCAAATATTGGGCTACTTTCAGCTTCCGTTGGGCGAATTTTAAGCAGAGCTTAGGCTGGAGATTTTTGCTGGACCTGGCAACACTGACCACAGCCCAGTTGTAATAAGTCATGCGTAGAACCGAGGAGCTGGCATTCGATTGGACATCACCGGAAGCTGGCATTCGATTGGACATCACCAGAAACTGGCATTCGATTGGACATCACCGGAAGCTGGCATTCGATTGGACATCACCAGAAACTGGCATTCGACTGGACATCACCGGACATGAACGATTTGGATTCATCTATTACAAAGAGAAATTACCTGCGATCAATATTTCTACATACATTTACAACAATTTAACAAACCAGGTATTGTTCAGTATTATAAATTTAAACTAAATTTTTTAAATGGTGCTAGTGTTAAAATATGGGTTATAAATAATGTTAATAAAAGTTTTTCTTTTTTTTTTTTTCCTTCTTTCCCAGTTCCTGTCTCATGGCCTAAAAAGGTATAGGAGAAACCCCCAGGCAAGCATGTGACTTTGGTCACAGTCATTACGTATTTATGGTAATTTTCACAATGGGCACTTTGTCACAAGAAACCCACAACACATGGAGTAATTAATTTACATTGGCTTTGATGCATGAAATATGTCCTTTGTAGTTACGTACTTCACAAGAAAACAGGTTTCTAAGAGCTGCATTCGTGTGACCTTCTGAATTGTTGCTGTCAGAAACAACAGCTTTGTACTCCCCGGACAGTGCTGTCATTTTGGTTAGCTATCTAAGCCGTACTCATCTCATACTCACCAATTTGGACAATTTCTAGAAGTACTGGATGGATCACCTGGAAATTTATTGTGCTTTTACCTGAATGCTGTGAGTCCTTGTCATGATATGTAGGTCTGAAAGTATACTTATGCATTTAGTGCACATTCCACTTATACTACAATTTGCATAATCTTTTCCTATGATAGGTTGTTACTTGTATAATAATTAAAATGTTTAAAAGAGGCACAATGTCTTGAACACATTGAACTGTTATGACTAGTAATGTAATGAAAGTTTGCGGTGGGGAAAGTTGCTCAGCTAATGCGTACATACTTGGAGGAACCCTGGAGAAATTTGTAGTTGGTTGTAGCGTTAAAAGAAAATGTGATGGCAAAGCATTACCGAAAATATAAAGCATGACTACCCATATCCGAAATGCCGTTTTTTGTATCTCGGAGCAGCTGTCTTTTTTTTTTTTTTTTTTTTTTTTTTTTTGGGGGGGGGGGGGGGGATCAGCACAAATGTATTAGCCCTAGAAACGCCATGTCAAAATAATAATAATAAAAAAAAAAATATATATATATATATATATATATATAAATTAAGTTTTAATACCACTGGTATATACGGAGGTTTAGGGGGGGCCACGGATAACTTTTTTTCCCCCTTCATACACATGTACATTTATATTTCACTGGCACTTTCATCCAAAAAGGCTTAGATCAGGGGTGTCAAGCTCCAGTCCTGGGGGGCCAGAGCCCTGCTGATTTTTGGTTTAACACACCTGATTCAACTCCTTGTGGTAATTACCACATAGCTCAGGAGCTGAATCATTTGTGGTGGAACAGGGAAAGAACTAAGCTGCAAAGGGCTCCAGCCCCCCAGGACTGGGGTTTGACACCCCTGGCTTAGAGGGAAGAGTTACAATTTTTGTGTGCCCTCGAACTCTTGGTTGTTAGCGCAATGCTCTATCAACTGTACAACATGTCTGCAAAGGTTCAATGATTTGTCCAATTCTTTGAGTTATTGCACTAACGGGATTAAATGTCTGAAAGTACCCCCCCCCCCTTCCCCTTTATTTTCTATCATCGCTGCTTCAGTTTTGCGGCAATCCATCTCCAAAAATTGATCACTTCCAATTTGTAATTCCTAAACTGTGCCTGCAAAGTTAGAAAAAGATTAATAAAAGAGTCCCCGTGGCTGTAGTGGCCTGATGCTAAAACCACAGGGATTCCCCAAAGGCCAGGGAATACAACAAGAGATGAAGAGACTGTAACCAAGTGTGGTTCTAGCTGAAGTGGGGAGAGGCAGCTGACCTTGGCCTGCGCAGATAACCGAGACAGGCCCAAGACGCATGCTTCAGAGTACATGGATTTGTAACCAAAAAGGGTCCTGCTGTACTGCCATTTAACAAATGCTCTGTAAATGTTTATGTTTAATAATAGGCCCATAAATGTAAAATTTAACAGCTGCGGGGATCTGCTACAATGCATCCTGGATTCTTTCCAGGATGGCATTACCGTGGATTAAAAAAACAAAAGACAACTAACACTAGGTGACCGACGAGGGCCGACGTCGAAGGGACAGATTCCGGGTGGGGCAGTTATACATGTCAGATGGGATGCAAACAGGGAATCACGCATGGCTGTGTGGTCTCCGGGTGGAAAACCAAAAGAAAACATTTCAAAGGGGAATGGAGCACGCCAGAGGGAAGTACTTCTGTGCAGCGATTCCTTCAGCTTGTGACCAAAATGTACAGTCATGGCGTTTACTGGGTACCTGTGACCCAGAGGAAGGCCCATTCAGTATCTTCACTGGTGCTGTAATATTGCTGGAAACCATTAGCTTCCCCTGACGTGCTACTTTCCCAATGGACTTCGGCAACACGATGTTTCAGTGGGGGGGGAAGAAACAGACACAAAGCAAGCGGCTCGGCAGAACAGCACATTTAAAACATAAACCGGATTTATTTGGGTGATTTTAGGAAAACTGTATATACACATATTGAAAAACCCTGACTTCACAGAGTGTATGTGTGTGTGGTAATTGAAGAACATACTGTGACAACACGTCAAAGAATGTAACCCAGGGTAATTTAGATGCCACTATCAATTAAACAGATGTGGCGAGAATCAAATTATGTCTGTAGAAAAACCAGGCATGCTGCGCTTGCAACTGGGGGGTGCCTAAATATGAAATTTTACACCACAGGTTCCAAAGTTTGACGATTATAACCCCTAAGGAGACCCTTAATTTTTTATTTTTAAATCAGAACTATTAGCTATAATTTGTAAACATTTTTTTCCAATCTCTTCTTTTTCTTGGCTAACCATATAACTGCTGCAATACCTGATCACATTCAAAAGAAAAACCGGCGTGTTTTGTAGAGAGAAACTATGGCTGAGTGTTGAAGTTTAAATGCATCTACAAACTGACCACCAGAGGGAGCCAACTTCATTCCAAATCTCATCACATCGACAACGTGCCAACTAGGATAAAGCTACACGCCGTTTCTAAAACGCAAAAACACGATATAAAAATGACGGACCGTATGAAGACATTATAAATATACATGTATAGTTTTCACGTTCATGTAACCATTTTCCAGATGAGTGTTAGCCTAGAAACCCTGTGACTGCTTCTCCGAGGAGTTGCTACAAAAATATTTGCACATGAACGACTTGCCAGTGGAAACGGTTGAGTGTCATGCATTTTCGTGGCCAAGTCCAGGGGATCACAGGAAGTTACACACAAACACGCACACAGCTGGAGGAATGTCTGAACCTTCTAAGCTAGTGGAAGCTTTGGACAGTGGAATGTCTGGGCAAAATAAAAAATCTACGCACAAACACTTGATACTGATGTTCATTTCATCTTCAGGTGATGTGTGTCTGTCAGGTAGTATGATGTGTAGTTCTGGCTGCATTCCCGCTACTTTCAGGGGGCTTAGGCATGTCTTCTATACTCTGGTCCTGGGTGATCACAGTATGTCCTAATTTACAACGCTAATAACTGCCTCTGCTAGGGGAAGAGGCTCAACTGGTAGATCCAGTGCCGGTTTCGGTTAAACAGTTCAGTTGACCACGGCAGGGCTGAAAAACCGTACACATGGTGTACAATGGGTCCAGACCCACTGATTCCACAAGATACACAGGTCCCTACCAGCTCCTGCTACACAGCCCGCTAACCAACCAAACTGCATGAATATTATGAGATGACAACCTGTTCCGATCACCGAGTACAAAACCTTAAGTCTCACTCACACAAAGACAGCTTCTAAAACATGAAAAATGCATTAACTAGAGAAAAAAACATTACATTTATTGGTCCATATTCTGGCACTCACACCCGAATCTACCCTAGTTGTCCCATTCTTTTCTGGTGATTAAAATGAAGAGGAATGAATGGTACGTGGTACACACACAGACACAACTGTGGCCTGTGAAAATGACCATGAGTCTGGGGCATACTTGAATGAACTGCCTTGTTGTTGATGTACTTGTGACCCCAGCTGTCTGGAGCATGGGTGGCCTTATATAACTAGGGACCAACATAAGCAGTGCTGGGAGACACACTCCTGGTCAGCATACTCGAAAGCAGGCATCAAACAGAAGCATCGTCCACAGTTGCAATGTATCTACATTTGTTTTCAGCTGGAAACACATCTAGTGCAACTGCCTCCCTTCAACCCTGCCCATCAAAGTGCAACAACGGGAATGTGGCGAACCTTCAACCAGAAAATCATTGGCCAGACCCTAGCATGGCTGTAATGGAAGTAATTTTAATGAGGAGTTTGTGAAGAGCGTATGATAGGGGCGGGCACATCACGAAACAAACTAAACATATCACAATGGGTTGTGGTAATGCTCTGAAGGAGCCACATTTCTCTGAAGAGCTGAAGGACACGCAATGTGAAAATGAAGAGTGTGGCTCCATTCTTGCAATTGTGACAGCAGAGTGGGATGAATACAGCAAATCAAGATGCAGAAATGATAAAGACTGTCCTGAAAGGATTTGAGAAGCTAAAAGCTTGATTGGGTGAATTAAAAAAGGATCACAGCGGTTTTGCTCCTTCTGATAGATCCTACAGCTGTCAGTTTGGATGTACATACAATAATACAGTATGTTGCAGTGTTTGTTTTGGCCCCTTTGATTGGTTCTACAGCTTCTTAAATCCTTCCACATACTGACAAGTTCCATCAGAAGGGGTCTCTGATTGGTCCTACAGCTCTGTCAGTCTGGGGAAAAAAAAAAAAAAAAAAAAGACTTCCTGCATACAGGTAAGTAATGTCATACTATATATTCCCTCCCCCTGTCTGATCTGCAATTGGTCCTACTGTTCTGTCAGTCTGCTTTACACCCTCCCCTGCAGCAGAGGCACCCGGAAGCTGGCAGGTACTGCTTACAGGAAGACAAAGATCATAGCTGAGCATAGGGCACAGTGTGTGTGTGTGTGTGTGTGTGTGTGTGTGTGTGTGTGTGTGTGTGTGTGTGTGTGTGAGGGTGCACGCATTCTATTGTAAAGGAATGCATGGGGTGGCATTCAACTGGCACCTGTGTGGCAGCAATGTGCGTGTGCGTGTGCGTGTGGGGGGGTGTTGCAGCTGGAAAGAGGAACGTCAACGTCCATGTGGGAGGAGAGCCCCTATGCAAGATATTATGACATTTAAGACCGTCTGATATAGATTAGAAGATAACAATATAACATTATCGTCATCAATAATAATAATAATAATAATAATAATAATAATAATATCAAAGTCTTGAGGTTTTTTTTTTCTTTTCGTGGCAACCAAGTAAAAGGAGTTTATTTACACATTTTGTTTTGTTTTTTGTGCACGTATTTCCCAGAAGTGATTTCAATTTCCCGTTCTGTGCCGCCAGGGACCGGCCCTACCCCCCGTGTCCTCCGACGAGGCGGCAGACCTGGGCCTGGACCCGGGCCTCCCTGCCGCTCCTCAGAGCCGAGTCTGGGCCTCGGGGACGTAGATCTCGATACTGTCCGCACTCTCCGTGGCCGAGTTCTGCCTGCCTGAGGCCGCCCGCTTGGCTGCCATCAGCCTCTTGCGGGCCTCCTGCCGCTGCCTGTCCGAGGTGTCGCCGACCTTCTCCTTGCCCGTCACCGGCCTGGCCTTCACCGGCTTCTTTGGCACGGGGGGCGGCTGCTTTTTGTCCTCCTGTAAGAGGACGAGGGAGGACAGAAAGAGCAGAAAATGATGAAAAACAGCAAGTCAAGACTACAATTCCTATTTGGATTTCACAAAAATATATAGGATATCTTTATCAAGTTTTAAACCTTTGAGAGGATTACATTAACATATTAACATGAATCTGGTACATAGTATTGATACATAGGGAAAAAATGCAGTTTTGTTTAATTTTGATATAAAGGATAAAATGGAACACAAATAGGGTACTGGTAAATCTGATATACCCTGTACCTTTTAATCCAGAACATGCTTAACTGACCAGTACACACTAATAGGAGATGGATAGATGGAGGTATAATTCGTTTTAAAGAAAACACTGAAATCACACGAGCCCTGCACATTACTGACGAATATTCATGAATGTGACAAGCAGCATTCAAATTAAAGGTTAAAAACAGCCACTTAACACATGGCACTAAAATGAAAAGGAGCTGTTTTTTATTCATTACTACAGTTCATTGATGTCACATTGTTGTAGCAGAGGAAATATCCTGCAGCACCAGACTAAGGATCTTGCCTTCATAAACATGTTCTCTCAAACCTACTGCCACTGCAGGCATGCTTCCATCCTGACACTGCCACTGCAGTCATGCTTCCATCCTGACACTGCCACTGCAGTCATGCTTCCATCCTGACACTGCCACTGCAGGCATGCTTCCATCCTGACACTGCCACTGCAGGCATGCTTCCATCCTGACACTGCCACTGCCGGCATGCTTCCATCCTGACACTGCCACTGCAGGCATGCTTCCATCCTGACACTGCCACTGTGACTGAGGAGAGCATCGCTCTTGACTAAGGATGTAAATGACTGTAAAGGGCTATTACACGATGTTCCTACTCCAGTTCACTAGGGTGGCGATAAAGGGCCCCACCGGCAGCAGTCACAAGGCACAACACCCCTTTAATGCAGTACCTTCTTGTCCGCAGAGTCAGCCGGCTGCCAGTCGTTGGACTTGAGGTGGTAGAGCTCGTCAAACTTCATGCTGATGTCTTCTATGGAGAGCTGCAGCAGGTCCCAGAACCCGGCCAGGTCCTGAGCAGTAGCCCGTGGGTTGGCGTTGACGTTCTGTCCGGGTCATAGAAAACACACAACGCCGAAGTTCAAAATGGTGGTAAGTTAAAAAAAGCGATAAAATATGGCACCAAGAAACTGAGGATACAGAGTCCATCCCTTTCCTAGGAAGAATCAAGCACTTCTCAGAGCTCAAATGCTGTCTCAACACTAGAGGGAGCTCATACACCATGTGAAATTCACATTAATGTACAACTAGTGTTCCTGAAAGATAGCTGGATTAGCCAGCGATTAACGCAAGTCAGACTAGGTCAGACATGACACACCCAATCGTTTTGTTCAGTGGCCGTTGGTTCTGAAAATCGACGTTAAGCCTGCTTCAGAACTGCCCTTTTTTTGTGAGCTCACCGGGTGACATGCCGTAGGGACTCGGGGTGCCCAGAAGCGTCTCACTCACCAAGTTCTGCTGGCAGAGTCCTCGGAACTGCTGGAACTTCTGAGACATGAGTAGCTGGGCGCTGCCCACTGCGCTGCGGATCTTCCCTAAGACTGCAGAGGGAGAAAGGGGGTCAGCCAAGGGGAGGAGGAGGGAAATTACCCCTGTAACTTCAGCTGTGCAGGAGTATTAACCAAAGTCACAATCCTTAAATGTAGGGCAACACCCTGGAAATCTTCTGGACTGGGAAGTGTGGAGCAAAGCTGATTGACTTTCATTCTGTCTACTGCCACTGCTCCGAGCTCTAAAGGGGCTGAGAATGAGGCTGCCAGCCAGCCCACGGGGGTGGAAAGCTGATGTGTCGAAATGGGGGATGCCTCTGCATCCAGAACGAAGACGGGCCACTCTGGGGTCCTTACCCTCCTCTGACAGCTGGTTGTCTTTGGTCTCCTGCTCCATCTGCTGGCACCAGCCCTCCATGCGTGCCGTCTCCGCCTGCAGGAGCTTGAGGAACCAGTGGCCGTCGCGGCGGCAGGCAGGCACGCTGGGCTGCGGCGGCCCGCCGGGGGAGCTGTTGTTCCCGCTCTCCAGCCACGGATCAGGCGGCGGCAACGAGGACGGGTCCAGTGCGGGGTCCAGTGACTCAGAGAAGGAAGTGGAGCCGCTGTGTGTGGCGGCGCGGCCGGGCAACTGGCGTAGAGCCCCACCTCCATCGCCGTCGGCGTCAGCCTGCTTGTGCCGACCCGGTGAGTCCGTGGACTGGCAGGCACTGTTCACCAGGTTCTTGATGGCAGGTTTGGGAGCGATGATCTCCTGTGTGTCTGAGTCTGTCTCTGGTTTGGAGGCCATGCTGCTGGACCGGCTGAGCCTACGGATGGATGGAGAGGGAATGCACACTAGACCAGTGTTTCCCAACCCAGTGGACTGTCCGGCAGGGAGCTGGGAGGGAGCAGAAACATGGGCTCTCTGGGGTTCCCCGAGGACTGGGTTTGGAAACACTGCACTAGACCAGAAATAGGACAGAACCAGCTAGTCGTGCAGTTCCTTCTACCAAATGAGACCTGATCTAACAAGCTAAAGAGGCTGAGATGCGGGCGGACGACTTCCTCTGAGAGCCACCTGCAGATTTTACAACCTCCGGATGACCTTGTCGTGAACCGGGGCATTTTGCAGCCCCTGGCGACTCGGCACGTGGCCCGCGGATGATAGAAAGGTCGTGTTACAACTGAGCACAAGGTCAGGCTCAAAGGGGGAGAAATTTGAAACTGGTCCGAGGGCGACAAGGGAAGGAGACATGTAAATTTACATCTCCGAGAACGAATGCAAAATCGGTTTGGGGGAAACAATGGACTCATGCAAAACATAGCTGTAAAAAACAGGATGGATTTGACAACAGCGCCCCACAGTACCTGCGACTGGCATTTCTGTTATATGGGTTACCTGCCAATACAGCAGAACACGCCGACTGGTACACAGATGGGACTAACGAACACTAACAAATGTGCAAATAGAAATAAAAATATATTTTACTCACTGCCAACTATCCTCTACTTGTACTCCAATAGACTGGAACTTGCTTAATGGTGGGGTTTCCTCCCTCGGGGCTGGGAGGGCACAGTCCACCTGGCAACAGAGGAAACGTCACCACGGAAACGTGGAGGTGCTTGCGAGCGGCCAGATGGGTCAGCATGATAAACGCAGCCCTACCTGTATGCCGATGGACGAGAGCTTCCTTCTAGGCACGGGGTTGGCTCTGGGCTCGTTGACCGTCAGGGCGCCATGCTTGGGCTCCTCGGGGGGGCTGCGGAGTGAACGGGCGTCGCGGCAGGAGGCGAGCGGGAGCTGCACTTGGGCGCCTTTGGGCGCGCCGCCGGCTCGCGTGCCGCTGCTCAGACTGTCTGAGGAGTTGCTCCGACCCGACTGGCTGTTCGCTTCACTCTTGTGGTCCTGGCTGTCCAGGTAGTTGTCCTGGGCTGACTCGGTGCTGCTCTGCACCGTCACTGAGACGAAGGGCTTGGAGGTGGTGCGTGGAGGGACTGGGGGCGGGGCTGCCTTCTTACAAGTGGTTATGCATGTGGACACTGCAGGAAACACATGGGAGAGGGGTGTTAGCGCCACCTGAAGGAGAGGACCGACACGCAGCCTGTACTGCAAACCTGCTTGGTCCATCTGCTACAGTTAAATAGTGATATAGCATCACAGAGAAATTCATAGGAAATTTTCACTTGGTCAAAAATACCAACAAGATATTGAGACACGCACACACACACACACAGACACACGCACACACACACACCGCAGCCTTACGGCACTTTAGAACTGTTGCAGACATACTTGAAAAGACTGCAATTCCCCATGTCACCATAAAACTGAACAGGGGTAACAAAAGCTTGTTGTACATGTAAACAATAGGTTTTATATTCAAAAGGACTCCACCCAACCCATAATGGGAGGCTTAGATCATCTGTTCACTACTGCGAGCTTCAAGACAAGCACGTCCGTTTCAGTGGTCCAATTCCTGAGAGTGCATCAACCAATAGGGAGGGTGCGTCGAGTTGTGGGTGTGGCCTGGAAGGGCAGGGACGGGCCGTAAGAAAGCATCTCCGAGAAATGCAAGGTTTGCACGGTGTCTCTCGTTTCAGATGGGAGTCATTTTTTGGATTACAAACAATTGCTGCTACAGTTTGACCTGTGTAACAAACTCCGAACAGGTGCCCATTAGAAGGGCACAGCCTCTCTCAGCTTAACCTCCTGCATAGACCTTTAAGGGAAGACTTCACAGCGGCAGGTTGCCTACCGACACTGCAGCCTGGTTCCCTTTTATCGACACATCTGCCAGTGGCAGGAACACGCCTCCTGTGAACACGCTCGATTGCCAGTGAGAGAGCTGGAGCTTCCCCGACACACGACGCCGAGCCCCCGAGGGCACTCGGGGAAATGCCCAAACGGGACTGGCAAGGTTCTCCAGTGAAGCAAAGTGCTGCCGATGACAGACTATTGCCGGTGGCGGCAAAACAGCTGTGGACAGGCGGACAACGGGCTTCAGACGGCGAGAACACTGAGGGGTTCGTACTCGTGGCGTAACTCCATTAGCCATTAACCTTTCATTTCTGCCATCTTTATTTATGAAGAGACACACGACTGAACCGGCACCCGAAACCCAGATTCAGTGACAAGGGCGTGGAACTGCCCGGAAACACGATGCCATGCACATGTTACGGTGGCAGGTCTCAAATCGCGCCCCATTTCACACCCTTTCCTGCGGGACAGTCAAGGAGCTTGTTGAATTTCACCGCGCTCTCCATGCACCTCTCATTTGATCGTTGTTTTTATTGCCCTGCCAAGTCTGCACAAGCTTAAAGGGATGCTGCTTGGGGACAAGGGCCAGGAGGAAATTAACAAGGCGTTACAGTAGGCTGGACAGCGTGTGGCAGACAACACCACGGGACCAGGCCAAAAATAGTAGGACTACACAAGGAATCATTTCTGCTTCACTAACACACAGTCCATTAGAACAATATTCTCTACGGTGCATACAAAATATATAAAAACATGCTGCTTGTCCGTTTAATCTCCATTGAGTTCTTTCACATACAATCCATCCAAGCTGCTGTAATTTATGTAACTAAACATTCATCTATAGGGCTACGTTTTATGTTTCATGCGATTAGATTCATTAGATTGTCTTTATTAGATAAGCCAATAAGAGACCTGAAATCACCTAGACCTACACAACACAACACTTAGTGGAGGATAAAGAGCACGACAGTGACACAAAGGGAACGTCTGGACGTGTGTAACAGAACACAATATAATCTTCTCTGGCATTGTTTGTACATTAGATTCCTTTTTTTTCCGTTGCATGTCTACCCCCGGGACAACATTCAATCAGGGTGGGGCAGTTTTAACTTCCCCACGAGCCTTGACGAAGTTCCCACGTCAAGCAGTAAAGGCACAGTTAGCCCAGTTAATTAGCATGCCAGAGGGCAAAGGCATAAGCAGAGGGTGTTACGAGGGACACCCCGATAGGACGACCGGCAATACTGAACACTCTTCCCATTAGAGGGGCCCAATCTGCTTCTGACGTTTGCCCACTCCAAAGAACATTTTTTATTATGCAAATTGTCCAAAATAAGGAACATTTCATTATCTCACACCATCAGCAAAACTTCTTGACTATAAGATTTCATCAAGTCTTCGTCTGCACTTATTTAATCCGACTGGTCAACCATGCTGAAAAATCAACAACGTTCCCATTAAACCCCAAGGTCTACTGCGAGCGTGTCGCACCTACAGACACAGTGGAGCCTGATGTGTGCATTGAGCTGGACCGTGCTTCTGGGAACGGGGTTGGCTGAAGACAGGAAGCTGCCACTCGCTCAGAATGAGGTGGATTCCCAAACAGCCTCGACGGATGCAACACACTTGAGAAGAGTAACTGCTGTGTGGCTGCATCTCAACCGTCCAACATCACAGAGGTCATCTGTGTGAACCATGACAACACCCCCACAAAATGCCACTGGTTGAGTTATTCACTGTCACTACAAACAGTGGTGACCACAACTTGGTGAACACAGATTGCCCCAGTCTTGTGTGCCTGGCTGCAAACAAAACAATGACCGACACACTTGAGTTAGAGATTATCGCGCCCTACAAAACGTCACTAGTTGTATTCTCCTAGACAGACACGAAAATTCAACATGGAGATGTGATCATGAGGCAAAGCAGTAGTGGTAGGCATTCAAGGTCAGACACCGTAGAGCTTAAACCCTCAACCTGAAAAGGTCATTGTTCCCATTAAATGCAGGAATTTGAGCTTCTTTCTCATCCTCTTAATGACCTTTTAGGTCCATGGACCCTCCTAATGGACCTTTATTATTCTGAGTGACGCCCACAAAGAGCTCTTACAGTGTGGATCCTCAGAAGAAAGCAATTCTGATTTGTTACCAGAAAAGCAGCTTCTTTTGCCCCTGCAGACATGATGTCCCCTGGTGCCCCTCATCAGCAGAAGGCCTGGCATCATAACGTAACCCTGTCCTAAATCTGCCACCCCCACCAGCCAGGCGCTGCTGGCAAGTTCTGCAAACCATCTCCTCTAGTAACAAATCCCTCTCAGGCAGAGGAGGCCATCATGACAACAGTCACAATCACCCTTTGGTGACATCAGAAGTGTGCAAACCACACATAGCCACAGAACTCCCCCCCTCCCACAACAAACCCCAGCTGCAATCTCTGCACTGAACTCAGGAACCTTCTTAGACATGCTGTCACACCAGCTGTCGTGCACGTGGCTATACAATGCAGACAACAGTACGACAAAGACATAAAATAAACAAAAGCCAGTCAGGCACTTAATAAAAATATATCAATGTATAATGCACGGTAGGTGTGACACCTCCATAAATTAAAAAGAAAAATGGAGGGAGATCCAGAAAGTATCATGTAAACAGTCTCCCTAAATACACAGAGTTTGAACTACACAAACATGCAAATTGTATCCATTAGCTGAGGGTGAGGAAGCACAGAACCCTTCAGAACTTTGCAAACATTTATACCCATAATTCCTTGTTGATGACTGACCTTGGAATGGTTAGGGTCAATGATACCAGTAAATTATCATACAACACCTTCGGAATAACATGTTGGCAAACAACTACAGGTGTTTTGACCATAGGGCAACAGTTTTACAGGGTTACAACCTGTAATCCCACCAACAGCATATGTGCCATTGACTGGATTAGAAATGGATTCTGGTGTGACCCATGGCAGCTACAAATTCTCATGACAAGAGGTGAAATGAAGAGGAAAAGGGTTTCCTTGGCAACAGCAGACTTAAAATCACACCGATGTCAATCAAACTAATCAGAAGAATGAGTCTGACATGGGAGAATGCGGCAAACACAGCATTCCTGGCCTTGCTGGGTCCTCCTCTTGTGGCTGGCTCAAACCACATTACTGGAACAGTAAGCTCCGCCAACAGGTCTTTGGGTAGCACACGAGGAAACGGCACACTGGAAAGGTGTAGAAGTAAGAACACACACACAAACACAAACACACACACACACACGAGCGGCTGTCAGACCTGGCTGCGAGCTCCAAGCTCACGCCTTGTCACGGCTGAGGATGCACAAGCAGTAGCACTGAGCAAAGGAAACACGGGGGGTGGCATGTAAGCCAAACCGAAGTTCACTCAATCAGACCTGATCATTAAAGCGCAGGATGCAAAAACGGACCAGAATCTTTCACCACGGCGCCACGATACTGTGGATAATTCCCATCCAGTAATAAAACACATAACACACTAACAATTTTACACCATCATGGCTTCCTTGAAAAAAAATGTCAGCGGTGGAAGAAAAGCTAAATATGTATTATGGACTCAAGAGGAGGCAGTTTCTGAAAGTGGGGGTGTTCAGAAACATGACTGTACATTGCCAGCTTTCTGCAAGAGGATGGGGGGGGGGAGAATTATTAGGTGTTTCTTCTGCTTACATGGATATTTAACAGGAATAATTAGGAATATTTTATAGTAATGAGGCAGCTAATGAGCATTTGATTGAATGGAACCAGAAGCTCCACGTCCTTTTCAGGCTGCACCCAGCAGCTGTGCTATAGCCCCACATGCTGACACGTGCATTTTGAGCCTCGGTCCAGAATGCAGTTGCTAAAATATTCCTCTTGGTTTGGTCAGCTGCTGCAGCATCACTGTCACTAATGAGGTCCCCCTTACCCATTTAAGAGAACAATCTTTATGACGCCACTGAGAGGAGCCAAAACAAGGGAAGGAGGAATGATTGCTTTAGCGGCACCAAAATGTGACTGGTATTTTTTATTCTGAGCAAAGAAAGACAAATGGTGTGGTTCAAATACCAATAATTATTACTAGAGATGCACAAGTTGCAATTTTCTTGGCCGACTCCAATTTCCATTTTTTTTGCAAGTGTGACCGATACAGATTTTTGCAGATTCTGAGTCACGATCGTTGACAACGTTTTCGTGGTGGTTCCCCCGCAGTTTACTTTGGCTTTACATGTATTACAAATTGCAAGCTCTGTGTCATCTTCACTCACAGTGAAGAACA